TAAATTTCAGTAAGCATGTTCAATATTTTTTCCCTGTGCCATTCCACATTATTACAAAAAAACTTCATTTCTGGATATGTATGGTTTGATTTCTTTGTATGTATGGATCACTTGGGTTGTTACCGACATCTGGTGAAAATTTCATGTCATTAGCACCTCTAGTAATATATTTACTTTGAAAAATGGTGACGTGTTCAATACTTATTTTACCCGCAGTATATGAATTTTATCCCATCAAACTAAAATCCAGAGCAACCAAACAGAGCCCACCAATGTATAATTTAATCTCATTATAAATCCAGCTGTTCTGTGGAGGTTTGAGAGGTAATCAAACAGCATCATGAAGACCAAGAACCACACCAGGCTAGTAAAGTATAAAGTTGAGGGTTAGCATCGACCCGGGAGGCTGAACATGAGCCACACTTCAGATTTTAACAGAACGAATGTTTTCACAAGGCATCGTAGGCARCGTATGCCAAGATCCAAGTTTGTCTTGGCCACTAAAAAACAAAAACAAACACAAAAGATTGATCTTACATCTGGGCAATACAATATTACTTATCTCCTATTGAGCAACCAGAAGTTTGCTGGAAAGCTCATCCACCATGGACTGTATCCCCACTTAAGCTGACGACGTCCACATTTATCATCCAAATGTTTTCTGGAGACGTACATATTTATCTTCTCAACTGGTTGTATGGATAACCCTTGCTGCTTTAGCCTCTAAAAATCATTCATCACACACGAGGACTTGCTTCTTTACAACACTTTTAAAACCTGAATGAAGAACCTGTTTTTGTCCACATTTTACATGAAAGAAAACATTTTTTTTTTTGCATTAAGAGAAACATTTCGGTGTAATCGTTTATTAAAACAAGAATAGTATAAAGGTTACAAAATTCATAAAAAACATCATGAATATAAAACAAATTAGCAGCTGAATTTTTATGTATATTTACAAAAAAAAATACAATTTACACAAGGCTATTTACATTACATAAAGGGTAATTAAATAACAGCTTTAAAACCTTCAGAGCACGATCGATTTCAAACAAAACAAACTTTACAAATTTACTTGATTTCCCACAAAGTTATCACCTTTGATTTTCATTTGGGTTCACTTTAGCTGTGAACTGTGCAAGGTTACTTTCAATTCGCAATTAACTCATACTAATTTCAGGGATTTCCTGGCCATTTTTAAATGAGGGTCTGTGGAAATGTTACGAAGGATTGTCAACTTGCCAGGGAGTTGGAAAAATAGAGATAACATCAAACATGGCTGACATTTTCTAAATTTCACAGCGAGCAACGCAAACCTTTAGACCACAAAAACCTCACAAGTAAATGATTTCTGTGAAGATTTTCAAGAGCAAATAGCAACAGCAGCTATTTTCAGGTGTAGCCATGAGCTGAAGAAATTGCTCGTAAAACAAAACATTTACTCATGTTATAAATAAATTGTAGACAAAATGTCAGCATTTTTGCTGCCTTATATTTTTGGAGCGAGCTAAAAGCATGTGGCAACAAAAATTATAACCTGAAAAAAAAAAAGATCTAAAATGTATTTTTATTTTCTAGTGCTCATTTGTTTAWATTGAGTACTTAAACTGTACTGAAACCAGCCACTAGAGGGAGATCATCCTTAATCCCTTTTACTTCATTTTTATATGTGCCATTGGTGTGAACACTCTTTGTCAGGCTCTTACATGGTTGTTTAGTTTGTTTTAAAGTTCCCCAGGCTACATCGCTAGTGCTACTGCTAGGTGCTGCAGCCACAATTTGCTCTTACAATTAAAATGGACTAGTATTGTTAATCATTTAAACTGGAGAAGTTTGGTCCTGAAAGGGTTTGGACTAGCTTTTAGCTCATCATGTGCCAAACTATTACTCCACACTGATGCTTTTCAAAGACCTATTTAAAACAGGTAAGACCTTAAGGTTTTTGGTACTTTTCAAGCCTTCAAAATGGCTGGAACATCCCTTTAATTATGATAGCACAGAACTATATCGTTTTATCTCGTCTGTCCGCTTCTCCAGGGTCAGGTCGCGGCGGCGGCAGCAGCCTAATCAGAGCGACCCAGACTTCCCTTTACCCAGCCGCTTGGGCCAGCACCTCTTGGGGGAATCCCAAGGTGTTCCCAGGCCAGCCGAGAAACATAGTCCCTCCAGCGTGTCCTGGGTCTTCCTCTGGGTCTCCTCCCAGCGGGACGTGTCTGGAACACCTCACCAGGGAGGCATCCAGGAGGCCTCCTAACCAGATGCCTGAGCGTTTTATCTTCCATGTATTGACTAAAAAAGTGGACCTAATCCTGGTCCTTGRGGGACACCATCCTAAATGTTTCACTTGTTTCCCTGCTGTTCAGCAGGTCTTCAAGTTCTACAGAAGCCTGTTTATCAGTCATTCACTCAAATTAGAATCGTGGAGGATAGTGGATTTAGGACCACTTATCTAGAACAATTCTCTTAGATCTGAAAAGTTTTCATTTTTTTAACCATGTGGCTACCAACATAATAATACACTAAATTATAGATAAATTCTGGACTAAAGAGCTAAAGGCTCATAATCAGTGCACAGTTAAAATAGCATTCCAACTATTTTATTTTCTGTTTTTGAAGAAAACTGCTGCCATAGCATCAACTCCCAAATGGGTGCATTTCCCTGTTCCGTTATAAAGTTTATAAGAATAGTAAACATCTACATACAGGTTTGTGAAGTTTCTCTCAGATTATAAACTGCAGTGGAAGACTCCCATCGACTTGTGAATTCATTTTTTGACCGATTTCTTCTGCAAAGTTCAAACAATAAATAGGAATTACTACAAGCTACAAATATTATTTTAAATATTCCACATAATCAGAAGTACAAAGGAGTGTATCTAACTTTAGGAACAATATTCCAGATCTATAAGACCTATAAACTCTCACACTGCAGCAGAAAATTAACAGAGCTGCAAGTTTTTACATCTAGTCACCTTTCATGTAACAACCAAATAAAAAAAAAAAAACGTATCAAATATTTTACTGACGACACATAGCCCACCAGGGGCCACAGTTCCATCCAAATAGAGACAGAAWAGCCATGTTATTTTTGGTTCTTCTCTCTCATGCTACAAGTATTAGCAGATTTGGAGCAGATCGCTCAGTCCTGCTTAGACTTTTTCTCAGGCAAACTAATAGTTACAGCTCATAATTAGAACAGCCAGGTTTGTTGATCTTCTACTGAGGTGTTTTACAATTATTTGATGAATTGGACGCCAGATATTTACCATAAAGTCTGACAGGTGTGGCTTTCCAAATTGATTTTCTCATCGGGAGAGAAATGTTATAATGACCCATTCAGGGTTATATTTTGTGGATATTTTTTAACATTAGAGCAGATAACAGTTCTTCCTCTCTCTCCATATCTAATTAAAGGTAAAAATACAATTTGTAGACCAGCTAAACAAATGAAAATAAATCCCAGTTCAAAGGCAATACTGGTAGTCTCTTTGGAACTGGATTCAAGTACATTCCAGGAGATAACACTGATTCACAAACGTCTCCATCATCTTCATTTAAATGGCTTCAGAAGTTCTGAACGTGTCAAACCACTGTAGTTCACCATCCATGTGCCCAAGACTTTGGTTGATGCAGTCTAGACAGATCTCATTCCTAAAGAGGTAAGATTCCATTTGGTACGTCCTCCAGTCTCCATTCTCCCAAAAGGGATTTCCCACTTAGATTAGTTCCCAACTGGAAAAGGTCTTGGTTACCTCTTCTTTGGCATGTTGTGCATTTGTTCTTTTTAAGACTTTTTGCTGCCCAAACCATCAGTTCGTCTCCAAAGTAGGATAAAGTTTAAACACTTTGTAAATCCACTCTGAATAAAACGCAACATTAACAAACAAGGCGGGCTGCGACGCGGCACATTTTGTCCTTTGGATGCTCACACCAATGATAACTTTGCGCTCGTGCTCCTGGCAGACCAACGGACCACCATAGTCTCTCTGCAAGAAAACAATGGACACCGGGTTAATTTTTTGGAGCTACACTTTAAACATAGCCAAGTCCAGCTGCATGTGCACAAATAATACTTACGTCGCACACACCTTCCCCTATCCTCCCACCAGCACATATTCTGCTGTCCCCTGCATCCCCTTTCATTTGTGAGCACATGTCATTGTTGACCATCGGCATGGTGACAGTGTTCAGTGCTTCATCATGGCCCGTGTCTAAACAGAGAACAATACAAAAAAATAAAAACATAAGGGCTAAAAGTCACCAAAATACTTTCAGCTGAAAAGTTCTTAACATAGAAAGTGGGTTTTTTTTTTTTGGCTTGTGCGTAGAAGAAGGCAGTACTTTTAGTTTCCCCCCATCCATACATGGTGCAGTTGGTGCCTTCGGCGATGTGACATTCTTTTACTGGAAGATGAATTGTAGAGGCACCCTCCGACACGGGGGCGGGGCTGGAACAAAAAATTATGGCCAAAAAAAAAAGTATAAACACTCACAGATTCACTTTTGTTTTGCTTCTAATTAAGTAAAATCAATGCAACATGATCTCTAAATCCTTAAAAATGTCTTTTTTTAAATAAAAAGAACAAAAACTATAACTAAGAGTAGTTAATCTGGTAGAACAGTTTGTGCTCCAACACTAGGAACTTAGACTGATGGGGAGAAAAAAGTTTGAAAGCATTTGGGTACTTACTCTTCTAGTTTCAACATAACTAGGTTGGATCCCTCTGGGCCACAGATTAGGCGAGAGATCCGCAATCTTGGACGCTTCGAAGACTCATTAAGATGACGTAGACCGACCTGCACGCTGTAGTCCTTYAGATCTGGAACGCTGTATTCGCAACAATGAGACGCAACTTTCAAAAGCCAAATTAATTCATTAATGTATGAGGTAAGTCACAACGCAGAACACGAGTCTTTGAAATACTCTATGGATGACACTAACTAGCATGCAATTAGTCACTTTATGTCTTATCAAAGTATACAATACATATAAAAAGACCTGGGCATGCTTTAAAGAAATAAAGAGAATGCAAGTTGTACAGAGACATGCTTCAGAAACACAAAAAGAACCATTAAGATGGAAAATTACCAGGATGTAAAGCACTGCTGATCTGTCAAAACCCAATCCTCTCTAATCAGAGAGCCACCACACAAATGAACGTTTCTAAAAAAAAAAGTTAAGATATTTTTAGTTAGCACAAATGTCATCATAAATATAGATACAATAATTTTTTTTAATTTTTTTTTTAAAGAATCGCTTACTCTCTTTGGATGCTTACAACCCAGCTGCCATCGGAACCTCGTACCCGATGCCCTCCAACTATTCTGGTGTTTATATGAACGAAGCATGATATCTTGGGCCTGGCTAGACCTGAAGAGGAAGACATTTTGATAAAGCTTGTGTTACAAATTCAATTTTAATGATAAAAATGTTGATTTTTTTTTTTTTACTTCAAAGGCCAAACATTAAATAGGATTTTAGCCAGGTAAACGGCAACAGAAGGATCTGATATGAAAAGAAAAAAAAACAAAACAAAGGAGATCAGAGATAGCAAGAGGAGGAGGACTGATCTGGTAAAAACCAGAAAAGCAAAATGGATACTTACTGTTTGGTTGGGGAGTAGCTGTTGCTGATTCACCTGATAAAAGCAAAGCAAAGCACAACTGTAAGATTAGGCCTCACATTAATAGGAAACTGACTGACACACAAACAAAACAAAACCCTGGAGCAAACAACATTTCTTAGACTTTATAAGGACTTTGTTTCTGAATCATTTGAGGCTTTGACAGCAGCCACTACAGATAAATTTGCTCAAGACCTAAAAACTTCATGCGGGACATGTTTTACATTATAGAAACCATTATGCAGAGGCTCTTCAGTGTAGTAAAATTGGAACCAGCCAAAGAAAACGTTGGGTCCAGCAGTCAGCGTGGTTTTGATTTTTTTCTTCTCTTCAAATATAATACTGGCAGTGGAGTACCGCATCTGTTTGCTGTTTGAGCATTGTGCATTATCTGCCAATTGAACAAAACCACAGCAGATCACATAAGCCTCTAAGCAAGACAGAGAAGATCTGTTATTGTTGTACTTTGTTGAGGTCATCAAAGGCTGTAAAGCTAAATTGTTTTATTGTTGTGCCATACCCACTCAACAGTAAACTATTTTAGTCAGTCACATTTAAATGGCCTATGACATAGTACTACTTTTCAACAGTAATGTGTAAATAAAACATTATCTAACAGTGCCAGTAAAAACTGTTAACTACTTAATGCTTTAAAACTTAACTAGGTAGCAGAGCTTAGCATAAAGACAGAAAAAAAAAATCTCTGGCACCGAAATRTGTCCAACAACACACGTAAAGCTTGTGCCACCATGAGCCTCCATGTGTTCAGTTTTCCACAGCTGCTAAATGTTTGAGCTTGCTGCACATTTACTGACCACCTGAAAGCACAACAGCAGGTGCATGATTCATGGTACCTCGCTACGTTTGTGAACACAAATGCTCTCTGCTTCCAGCGATGGGTTTTACAGGGTAAATATTTTTCCAGTCACTCACATTGCTTCAGTTTGCAGTAGTCCCAGACCAAGCGGTTATTTGGACTTGTGTAACACCAAGGGCCATGTTTGTCTCGATCTGGGTTCCGGCAGTAGTTCATCTCCAGCCCTACATGGGACACTGTAGAGTGAGAATCCTCACTGTAAAACACACAAATACAGATTCTCATATTCTGTTTGTTATTTTGTGCACAGTGTTTTAGAACATAAATCCTCAACCAAGTTTGTGTATACTGTGCACTGAGTCGTCCTTCACAATTTAAGTAATGATAATATATGTGCACAGTCTGACTCCGGCTTTCCTACAGTGCAATGAATTCCCTGCATCAGCTGCACAGAGCACACAAGAAAACAGAGTTTTCAGAAGCGTGCTCAAGGGAGTACGAAAGTATGCAGTCGAAGCATTCAGCCAGGCTCAGACCAACGGGAGCCACATCCTCCACGGAACGATTTGGTTGTGCTCTCGATTGGTAGGAATTCACATCTAAATTGTGAGTCCTTCTGCAACTCGGCTGTGCAAGAATTACATGCAATCTTCTCAAATATCCAAAGTATCCCTGAAAAGTAATTACTGGGTAGGAGTTTGGACACACAGGCGCAAAAATCACGCCAAGCGAGGGGCAACAATTTGTCAGGGGGTGAAGATAATTCCACCTCCCAGGAGATTGTTAAACAAGCTGTAGCTCTCGGCAGTATTCCCTGGGATGACCCTTAACCTTGAGCAGGGTAGACTCACTGGCTGCAGTCTATGCGAGGGAGCTGATTGGCTTTGATCTGCTCTCCTCAGAAAGCACTTCCTGGGGTCAGGGGTCAGCTCTGGAACACGTCCATCTGTCTGTGCCATTCTGGCTTTTAAAATTCTTCTAAATTAACTAAATCTAACAGCCTGAATTTAGCATGAAGTAACAGTTTTGGAGTGGGCAACTTCTCCGTCAGGGTGGGTCGATTGGAGAACACCTAAGGGTTCCCTCTCATCGGATGAAAAATAACTGGGCTTGGTATTGACCCCTGAGGAACCCCTGATTTCCTTTCACTGTTTGTTTTCACAGCTTAGCTTCATCAGTATAAAAGGGCTTTTCATGAGGCAACGTGAGCTAAACTGTCAACACTTATCCACTGAGCAGAAAAAAAGTGTAATTCTCTAGAAAAAAAAAAACACTTCAGGGTTTTTGAGTGYACTTTACTTTGTACCTGTTTATGTGATGTGACCAGTTTGCACAGGGAATCCCTGACCGAGTTATGGATAACGAGCCCCGGTACAACTCTCCATTGTCTTCATAACATTCTGGGAAAAAGTGAAAAGATATTTTTGAAAAACCTTGTCAAACATTCCCACAGGTGCCAAAGATAACTGAGCTTAGCAGTTCCTCAAACACCTGAATGCTTACAGTGAGTAGGCATGCTTAAATACACAATCTGGCACTCGCAGAAAGAAACTAAAAATGTGGCTGTGTGTTTTCCTTTTGGTTTGAATCAGTCGAGTTGATGACACTGTGTGTAACGGATGGTTCTTAAATATATGTTCATTCTTAAACTGTACGAGCAGACGGCCTGCAGTAACAGACATGTGTGGTCTCCTGAAATGTAAAGCAGAGAAACATGAGAATTGACAGCGAGCTCTGTTGCCAAAGCCTTTTGTGTTTATGTGGAATTCATTGGGCAGCTCTTTGCCAAGTGGTTCAGTCCTATGAGAGCAATATAGAAATGTCTGTGTAATTGCACTTTGCAAAGGCATGACATGTCTCTGCAGACATCTGCACTTCAGTATTTGAATTGTGCTTTAAAAAATACAACAACATAGTAATTTCTAGATACAGTACTTCACGAGATGCTTGTCATTTGTTGACTTCACACAGGAAGGCTCTGGTGGATTGCACATTTGTGACACTTTGGAATTTGTTTCATTTTAATTTGATGGTTTGAATCGAAAATACAATCATTTTAGAATAAACACAGTTCTAAAGGAAAAACAAGCAATTTGGTTTAAATAACACATTTTTTTCGTATTTGTTTTTATTGGTTGTCTTTAAGATTGTTTATCTTACATTTAGGCAAAGATGTAAAAAAGAAACTGCTCCCCAACCTAAAATAATATTTCATTCTCCTTTTTAGGCATTTCCTGAAATATCTAAATGAAAATTAAGTTTTAGATCAAATCACCCATTTCTTGTGAGTCCTCTGCATCACATTTGGGGATGTGTGTGCACTTGGCTATCCTCATATTGGGGTCTGTCGTGAAGCACCATGGGTAATCTGTACCATCTGGGTTGCGGCAGTAATTCTTCTGGAGGTCTCTAGAACACACACAAAAGCTAAAATTTAAATGATCGTGCTGATAGATGTACTGTTTGCAAACAAAACCCTTGTAATGTCATCGCTTGTCTTTATTTGGACTGTAAAATGCGCAGAACAAACAAATTATCTCCTGGGCAAGTCAGTAACCACAAAARCAAGCATCACTCACTTGCATTTGAACTTCTCAGGAAGAAAAGAGTGGTTATGGGGGAACTGGGAGTCCCAGTGCTGACACGTCACACCCTCCGGAGTCACATTCATTGTTCCTCTGTAATTAGCACCCTCTCCTTGGATGCAGGACGTTGTTGTGTTGACATCAGAGTCCTCGCTGGTGTCTGAGTCTGCACGGAGGGGGGGGAGAAATGTTGTTGTTGAAGCAGAGGCATGAGAAGGAAGTCGCTAGCAAAAACTGAATGCAGGAATGAGGGAGGGAGATGTTAATCCCCAGAAGAATGTGTCATGTTTAACCTAGAGACAGATGATCAAAAACAGTGGCTCGGCACCCCCTGTGCTGCTAACACGATAGGAAACTCTGTGTACTCATAACACCGGTGCCACACATTCTTGCACACAGGGATTTTCCACAAGTTATTTAACTTGCCTACAACAAAAAGGGTTAGATTTAAAAAAAAAATCTTGAAGGAATGCGTATCACCCGCCACCTTTTCATGTCAAGAGTTTTAGGATCATTTCATGATGAAAAGAGATGGAGTAATAGACACGTGGTCAGACCTTGCACAATCTTATGCAAAAGTTTGCAATTAGCTATGATGAGTTAGCTCTCAGCGTATGTGTTGAAGATGAGTCAGCTGTAAGTGTACATCTAGAGGTTACTTTGAGTGTTAAATCCATCCAGTAGTTTTTTGAACAGTACAGAGAACTTCATACATTGCAGTACCCGTGCATAACCCTGTTTTTAGCAACTTCTTTCTTATATGTCACCTTTTGATGTTATGTGTTTTTGTCTTTTGGCCAACTAGGGCTTGCATTGGGACGCATGAGTCAGCCAACATGACCAGTCCARCTAAGCTGGAGTTTTTGCAGTAGTGACAGTGTGTAAAGATGTTAGCCTCCTCCAAAGTGTGGTGGTCAATGCGCCAATCCTCCCAAACTATCCTAAGGATTTTTCAAAGGCATTGCTGATAATACGCCTCAAATTCTTTTAAGCGCCTGCTATATCAGGATCAGGTTTCTGAGGCATACAGAAGAGTAGAAGAGAAGAGCACTACTTTGTAGACCAGGATTTTGGTCTTTGCCTCAAGCTCGTAGCTTTCAAAGACACTTTTCTTTAGCCTTGAGGAAAAACTCTACCGACACAGCTGAGGCAGKGAATTTCATCATCAATAGCTTTAGATGACAGGAGGCTGCCAAGCTATGGAAAGTGTTCTTCATTTTCTAAGGTAGTCTAATCAATGGAGATGCTTAAAGGCAGAAAAGGTGCACTGCAGTTTCGTAGAAACTGAAGGAGGATTTGRGTCTTTACTATTTCTAAGGCTAAGCTGTTTGTGTGCCTCTGCAAAGGCTAATAAACTATTCCAAACATTTTCAGATGGAATTCTTCTTAGTGGTGCAGCGAGCAGCTTCTTCCGTGCAGATCTCTGCTCTCTGTTTCTTTAGCCTTTGACAAATGAGACGGGAGAAGATGGAGGAGGAAAAAGAATGTTTTGCGGTAAAAAGCAAACGGCGGGCAGAAAAGAGGGATTCCTTGGCTTGATGTAACACATGCCAGTGTCTGTGTGTGCCGTGTAGCACAGGTCAGTGGTTTTTATCTTTCAGAGGGCAGGCATTAAGGGATGCACACATCTGGACAAATGCAGAACCTCCACCCTCACCATTAATCATAGGCTGTACTGTAAAAGTGCAGTTTGTGTTTGACGRAGGAAGAAAGGGGAGAAAAAGAAAGATGCTCTGTGTTTGTGGGTGTGCTTACAGTATATTTCAGTGTACTGTGACAAAGTAATGAACAAACTTTCCAATGACCTACACTCCTTTTGATCTCCAATCGTTTTTCTTTCCATTCAACACAATAATTAGAGCTTCTTAGATGTCATTTTTAGGGAAGGCCTTGCATAATTCAGCAAACAACCAGTGCTGAACTGGGCTGCTCTGACGTTGAGATCTAGTATCTGTGAGGGYCACAGCATCTGATTTAAATCATTTTCATGTTCATCACACCATTTACTGACCCACTGAGCCCTGCAAGGAAGCATCTGCAATCGTTTTCCTCCTTGCACATTGATTTGTCTCTATACCTTCTGATTTCAGCAGCTACCGAACCTTTCAGTACCTGTGTGAAGGATATCTATGGATAATCTCCACTTTCTAGCCATTCATTCACACCTGAAGTCTGAAGATTTCCTTCATAATATTTTTCCTTTTGCTTGCCGAGGTAGAAATAGTCAAATCAAAACATCACATGAAAGATACGAAGACAATATCTACTTCCGAAGTGTATTTCAAAGTTATGAGAATCCTGAATTAGAGCAAATTGATTATTTGGTCTTTTAACTTCTTTAAAGACTCTGTTACCAGATTATCCAGCTTCAGATTTGGAGTTTTGGAATTAAAATGAGCCCTTACTGCACACAGCGATGTTACAGTACTCCCACGGAGTTTGCGGGTCCATGGTGAAGCACCAGGGTCGTAGACGATTATCTGGGTTACGGCAATAGTTGTCCTTTAAGTCTTTATCCCGATGCCTGACAAGACAGAGAGAAAGAGAAGAAGGACAATCATAACTGGTGACAGATTCTCAAGCATTAGTGTCTTTATCACCTGCTGTGTGCATCTGGATGTTAGCAAAAGATCTCAAGACCCACTGGATGGATTTCAGAAAATTAATCATATATAACTGATATAAGCCAAAACAAAAGTGTGTACAACTTGGTCAATTTTATAGACACTAAGGTAAAATCGGACATGGTTGTAGCCATAAGTTATTCAGAACATACTCTGAGATTGAAAATGACATCTTGTAACACTGCATTAGGTCGTGCAAAACAATAGTTTTAAGGTTTGACCAAAACATTTCTCATTATAAGATGATCTCAGTCTAAATTTCTGCCATGGAAGGCAGTGGGTGATATGCATTCCTTCAAGGAATTTTATTTATTCAATCATCTGTCACGAGCATGCACTGATGGGTTTCAGCTTACATTTTAGGCTGGAAGTTGTGCTTGTGAGGCTTTTGCGAGTCCCATCTCTGACACTCCTTGCCGCTTTCTGTACGATCCACTTTGCCTCGATAATCCTCTCCGTTGCATGTCATACAGACCTCTGCCAACACAGAAACAACAATTACCAAAACTTTTCTCCCTCTTCTTCCTCTTGGGAATGTAAACAAACTTTCAACAAGAAATAAACCACATAAACACTGATTAAACCCCCCAAGCACTTTCTCACTTTAGGATTTATTTTAGCAGACCCACGTTGCCCACAGAGAATATTTAGTCTCACCCTGCGAACACAGCGGTACGCCACAGTCTTCGGCTCGCACGTTGGGGTCTGTGGTGTAGCACCACGGACCACCGGGGTCGTTGTTGGGATTCCGACAGAAGTTTTCCCTCAGGTCTTGCGTTGGATACCTGTCTGGATAAAACCTGAAAGGGAGGAGAGGGGGCACGGGGGGAACAGACAGACATTACTGACAGGGTTAACTGATACTTTAAGCCGTATAAATAAATTTGCAGGAAGACTTGCACACTTGGCTATTCCAACCATGTTTTTAGTATCATATTGGCCTGCATGCGCTCTCTAGAACAAGCCAAATAAATTAAAAGGAAACTTAATGAAGATGTAAGCCTCACTCTGTGAAATTCAAGTGCCAATTTATTCACATCTGGAATGTTCTATTGTGGCAATCGTATGCAAAGTAAGTCACAGATCTGACTCACCTCTCTGCCTGATCACATTCCTAAATCCAGCCATGGCCCCTTTAATGTGAAGCAACCCAACTGTCACAGCAGAGTAATCACCAACAGCACAGAACTAATGCTACGGGAAACTTGAAGTAACCCAAGCAGCCCCTCTGCTGGCAGTCTTGGAAACCCATTTTAACCTAATCCTTCTCTGTCGACTGCTATGCCACTATAGCGTGAACCCCCTTCCCCCCACCATTAGAAATAGAACCTAGCTGGTCCAAGCAAATGGGGCGTAACAAAAGGGGATCAGTAAAGGATCCCCTTGCTAAATGGACAGTGTGCGAAATTTGTCTTTTGTCACGGCAGGATGATGAAAACTTGGTCCGTCAGCACCTGCTGATCCATGACACACTCCGGGACAGTGTCGTGGATGAGTGACAGTTTTAGCTGCAATTTTAGCTTCTYTTTATTGCCGAACTGATAGATTCAGAATGGAATTTAAAAATCTTAAATCTAACATCCAAAGTTCTCAACAACCAATTTTATATTAAGTCATATTGTTTTATAGTTTCCTAACAGAGCACCTCACTCTCAGATTGAAGGTTCACTACCTTGTTTTTTTCCAATAAAAAGAAAAATATAAAAAATGAGAAAAAAATATGTATATCAAAATCACAAATAAAATGAAACGAAAGGCAACAGAGAAGAAAAATATCTTATAATATCTGCTCCTTTCCCCCCCAAGAATAAGTTCATATAACAAAAAAATCTGTTATTAACAAAACAAAAGAAAAGAACATCTAATCCCTCTAGAACAACAATTTATATAGATACACCTTATACAGTTTCATATTTCTTTAACAATCCAACTTTTATCATTTTCTTAAATGTACACAATGATCTTGCATTTTTTACATCACTCCCCAAATTATTCCATAGTTTTATTCCTTGAATTAAATTACACCGCTCCTTCAAACTAGTTCTAAATTTGGGTTTTTACAAATATCGCTGTCCCTTTAAGGTTATAACAACTCTTTCTCTTAACAAAATTTACTTGTATGTTTAAAGGTAATGTGTTTTTGTGGGCCTTATACATAACCAGTAGAATATTATAATCAACCACATCGAAGGACTCCAATATTTTCACTTGTGGTTTCTAGAGCTTCTAAAAGTAAAATGTAACGCTCCTCTTTTGCAGAACCAACTTACAGTTTCTATCTACGCTACATGTTTGTATTTCCAATTATTTCTGTTGTAATTGTATAGTGTTTTTTAACTGGTGCTATATAAATACACTGATATGAATCATCACAAAAAGGCTAAAAAAGGCAAGAAAATTACTAAATACGGTAATAAAGATGAAGAAGGAGCAAAAAGATGAGCAAAAGTACAAAGTAAAAATGAATCATCCTCTCTTTCTGATAATTCACTCCAGCCTTGTTTGTGACATGCAAGGTTTCTACAACAGCACACATCATTATTCAGTCATTTAAACAAAAATCAAAAAAGGAGATTGCCAAGGAAAAAAAAAAGTACGAAGCACTTAGTTGTACCTATATACCTAAAAACAACAGAAATGTTTCATTTACGCACAAAACTAAAAGAAAACATTTGTTCCAAAACAGATCTGTGTTTCGGGCCAAAGACCACATCTGTTGTATGTAAGTCACAAGCTCTTGTAGGTCTTTATCATAAATGTGGTATTCTTCATTTACAAATGGATCGACAAGTTTCCTCACTTTCAAAAAAAAGAAAGAAAAAAGTTGCATGTGGTAAGACTGTGAAAAAGCCTGCAGCATGGGAGCACGTTAGCTGTAATGATGTTGTGCTAACAGATGTTGGCCAGTTTTCCTTCTTCCTGCCAGAGTCTGGTCCCGTCTGAGCGCGGGCCGACACTGCGCACACATGCTTCCTCCTCTGAGCYGACTACACGCATCGGCTGGATATTGGATATCAGTGAGGCTGAAATCTGGCCCTGAAGTAGCTGCACTGAATGCATCTGGTGGATGAAACATCAAGCCTGAACGCGGCAACATCCAAAGATGTAAAGTGTTCAGAAATAAAGGACTATGGATCTTGATTTATTATATAACCTAAACATTCTCAGGAWCTTTCTTCATTCTTTGGTTGGACTTGCAATATTTAATGCTGTAAAAACATGTTCTTTTTCATTTTGCATTAAGCTGCAATCCCTCTTTTTGTTTTCCATCTGTCCATTTTAACTGCTGTCCTTTCAAGGCCCTTCAAAAATTAATAATAAAAAAAAAAAAGAAAAACCTGAATTGTTTCAGGCAACTGATGGGTAATAAATTGCAAATGTCAATGCAGCTGCTCAGTTTTTGTTTTAGCGTTGAGAAAGCACTTTGCCAAAATGTGTCCCGCTGCTGTTGAGAACAAAATAAAATAAAAAAGACTCTAAACCAGGCGTTTCAGGAAAGTCGGTGCTTCCAAGGCATCATATGATTGATTGATGATTTTTGCAAGAACAAGTACAAAAATGCCCTGTGTGCTAAAAAGAACAAGTTTTCTTTTTAAAACATGTTGGGCAAGAAGCTACATTTTTTATCCACTTGGAAATATTTAGCTTCACTTGGTTTCAGTTAACTCAAACTACATGCCGTACACCTTAAAGAATCTGTCGGTGCCCAAAAAATACAGAGGATCAGACAGCCACAAATCATTACCTTCCTTAAAATTATGTTTACAAAGATTTAAATAATATAAAAAACAACATATTTCACATTCAAATCAAATAATCCAGGATTCAATGTAAAATCCAGGTTTAAGCCGAATCAAACCTGCTGAGGTACATGTCCTTAGTAACTGGTTGTAATGTGCGTATACTAAGGCTTTGTTCTGCATGTTTGTCTGGGAATCACTTCTGTCTGAAGCCTGGTTGATCCCACAAACAGAAACAACAACAGGTGGAAATCCCGCTCCTGGATGGGAACCTCCTGAGAAACCCCTCCTGCCCCCGCRGGGGGGATCAGCCGAGCGTGAAAATAATAGTTACCTGAACCTCAAATGGTCCATTGTGGTGCTAATTCTCACACAGCGGGACGCTTCGGCGTTACATAACTCCCTTAATCCTCCTTCAGTTTCAGCCCCTTTGAAAAGTTTTAAAGATGCTGACAGCTAAAGATGATAGAAGCTCTGTTCCATTCGCGAAGAGTATTGGGACCATGTGTCAAATAAACGATGACAAAGGAGYGCTAACCGCGGCTCCTGGAAAGTGATGACAGTTCTGGAGCAGAGCGTGAGAGGCGAGGACCGACACTGTGGTCTGCTTTAATTGGAAGGGATTGGTTAACCTGCAGTTTTCTCTCAGTGAACCTTGCTGGACATCAGACAAAACATGACTTCAGCCTATAAATCTTTGCGCCTTTATTTTGTTCTGTCTTCCCTTCCATTTTTCACTCTGCACCTCTTCAAAACTATTATTCCTCCCTCTCCCACCCAACTCCCCCCTCCCCTGCTATGGGTAAAATATCTTGTAACTAATGAGCAGTGCTAATGAGATGCTGGCAAAGATCCACTGATCAAGCTGAGAGAAAACATCTTAGGGATACACCTGATGGACTCCAGTGCAGGAGGGGGTAAAAAAAATAAAATTGGGGAGGACATCCCTGCATGTGTTGAAAGAAATCTGACTTAACTCTGGATAAACGTTCAACTGTCTCTGAGCCTCCACCTTCCCTTAACCCCCGAGGTGGGAGGGGATGAACCGAGCAACTATAAATCAAACGCTGAGGTCTGTTCAGCTTCAGGCGCACAGAAAAAGAGAATCCTGGAAGAAAAAAATAACAAATAAATAAATAAAGAATAAAAAGAAAGTGGAAGCATGAAGAAGATATGAGCTTTGAAGAGTTTGGGTTGAAATCTGGAGGAATTTAACAAGAGGAAGTGAATGATTAACACGTTCTGTGTGAACACAACTGCTGGGAAGACTTTTTTTTTTTAGCAAGTCACTCCAACTTGACCGTGACAAGTGACTTTGTGGAGTTGATCTTTATCACCCAATGTTTAATTTGTCTGTTAGCAAAATATCTCATGAACAAGCGGATGGATTAAAAAAAGCCATAACGTGAACACTGAATTATCTACAACTGATTACTGTTTGTGGTTAATCCAATTCAAGATGAGCCACAGCTAATTAAACGTAGCAAATACAAAAAACAACTATAAGTCGGTCTGTTGTAGAGGTATTGAGCTAAAATTCAGTGTGGTATTAGCCGAACGTTATCCCCAACGTATACAATAAGAGCTAAAAGATTAACAAAATATGTGTTTGTAACTTTATAAGACTGTGAGTCCTTTTTTACAACTTTACAATAAACTAAAAAATAATGCTCTCCATGACCCGTTAGTAAAAAAGCATCACTTACGTGTGCTCGTTGATGTTATTTTCAGACCAGGCTTGGCAAGTGATGTTTGATTTTGTCCAAGATCTCCTCCCTCTGTAGTTGTCCTTGGTGTCAGAGATGCACTCCCTTATATAATCTGAGTGCAAAAGCAGAATAATAATAAAATAAAAGAACATCTGAAAACAACCATCCATGTGTCCTCACTCTGTGCCAGTTTACACAGTAATTAAAGTTTGCTTTGCCTTGACCACTTCAAGTGTAAGTTGCCCAAGTATGGTCAAGAAGAGTTTCCAACAGCTTACATGTTCTTCCCAAAACAGACAAGTTCGTGAAGTTCGTTAAATGTCACAGAGGGGAGCGTTCATAAATTTTGCAGCAAATTCTAAAGTGCTAGATTCCACAGCAAGCGCTTGAGGAAAACTCTTGCACTTTGGCTGTAAACAATGATTTTTTTTTTTTTTGTGTACACTCCTTAAGTCTGCTACAAGTTTAAGCAGCGACTCTCTTAACCAGAGCGATTAAACAGCAGGGCGTGAGGAGGTTTGGCTCTTTTATGTAAACAGATGAACCAAAGACCTTTGAAGAAAAGCGAGCCAACATTCAAGTACTCTTACCACAAACAGCTCGTCTGTGTGAATCCTATAATGCACAAAAGCCTTCAAAAAACGGGAACATTTACCTTTTTTTTCGTACAAAGTGAAGTTGATGTTGGCCTGCTTCTGCACACCGTGGGTGAACCGGTCAAAAGGAAGCAAGTGGCATTTCCTGTTGTGCCTTTGAAAGTTGAAAGCCCTGCCAGGAGCGCACGGGAAGTCGAAGAAAGATGACCAAATGATAAACAACAAGAATATGTAAATAGTATGAGACACGCAGAAGGCGAGGAGGAGTGAGGGGGGGGAGGGGGGGGTGTGGACGCCGCTACGGGGAAACCTACGGACTTCAGAGAACTGTGACTCACCTGCAGCTGAATTTCTTTTTCAGCTTCGAGCACTTTCGGGCGCAGTGTTCCTGCGAGCGGCTCTTTTGTATCAGCGGCGTCAGAGGGCAGTCCATGCAAACCAGTATGTGGCTTTCAGTCTTTTCGTACTTCTGTAAGAAGTGACGACGAGGTTTTTGACAGCAACCTGCAACACAGAAAGACACAGTTCATCTCACATGTGGTTTGAATAAGACCATCCAATTTGCATTTATGATCTGGACTCTACCAGTCAGGATCAAGTCTGCAGTAGTTAGAATGAGGCCTGCCATGACGAGCAATAAATCAACTAATGGTTTGTTTTCTTTCTAATGCCCTGTTTTCTACTCCTTAGTGTAGTGTAGGGAGGAGTGAGCTTCAGCAGTTGTTGTGTGTTGCTTTCCCAAACTCCAGTCCAGGTCGGTTTAGGGTTGCACAATATATCAGCATTAACTGTGGTATCGGCCGATACTGATCATTTTTTAGAATATTGTTTTGTTCCGATATGTAAACCTGGAGCAATAATAACATCTGATAAGGACTTCCCATGTTTTAGCTTTGTGTTTCTGTTTTGGGAGGGGAGATGGTTGGTCGAGTGGTATTTGTTTGATCATGATAGTGTTAGTGACTCTGCACAGCTAGGAATAACTGATGTAGAGAGTCATGGTGTTTTTGAATGTATTGAAAAAAGACAAGTGTATTTGTGCGTATATGTATATAAATAATTTGTGTTTGTGTAATTTCATAAATATTGGTTAACGACCATAACAACAATAATAATAATAATAATAATAATAATAATAATAATAATAATAATAATAATGGGTATCAAAATCAGCTGAAATTTTCATATTCGTGCATCCCTAGGTCAGTTCGTAACTTTTTTTAACATATGTAAATTTCCTAAACTTCCATAAGCTTTGTAAACACGGGGATTGGAGAGGATCATTACCTTTTGTGTAATATTATCGTTTATCGCAATAATTTCTGAGACAATTTATCGTCCAACAAAATTTGCTATTGTGACAGGGTTAGTTAGAACAGGGGCGCCCAAACATTTTCCCCAAGAGGGCCAAAATGAGAATCTATCCGGGGCTGCGGGTCAAATGCAGTAATATAATATATGAAATACAAATACTATTTTAGTAAAGTCTTTTATTTTGTAATGATTAAGCTAGCAGCCAGTGTGGTAGCCTGTGGTAAACCTTTTGTTTTTAGTCTGGGTACTTGGAGAAAGTCTGCCATATCCTCAAGTAGCAAAGGCTCATGGGAAATTCCATAAATTGATAAAATATGAGTTTTTCTGGCCTTATAAAGTGTGCAAATCTACACATTTCGTATTTAATCTTAATACATCAAAGATAAAGTCAGAACCATRAGTGAAAACTATCTGTACCACAGCCCCTTATAGTCAATGAGCCAATGGATGAAATGACAAAGTGGAAAAACTTTTTCTACATAGGACGACAGGTTACAACCTAGTAACAATGTCAACTGCTGGTGGGCCAAATCAAATGGCTTGGGGGGCCACATTTGGCCCGCGGGCCCCACTTTGGGCTCCTCTGTGTTAGAATTATAAAAAATTCTACAGTTTGCCAGTGATTGCATGGTGGTAACTATCCATCCATCCATCCATTTTCTGTACACGCTTCTTCCTTTTCAGGGTTGCGTGGGTCACTGGTGCCCATATCCAGCAGTCACAGTGCGATGGGCAGGGTACACCCTGGACAGGTCGCAAGTCCATCACAGGGCCATGGTGGTAACTAYTGTCAAATAAAGTCACGAATGCAACCATTTGGAAGACTACCGCCCCAACATCATTGTTCTAGAAGAACACAGCCTGACCTATATTGAAGCACGCATCATGAAAATCCAACTGCAATGGGCAGGTCATTGTTTGTACATCTAATCGTCTGGGCCAAATTGTGTATCCAGAATAGAATACATCATCATCTATTAAACCCACATATGGGATGTGTAAGTCTACCAAGAGCAAGCAGTCCTCACAAACTGAGTGGCCTTGCAAGGAGAAGATCACAACACCTGTGACTACTCTAAAGTTACAAGCTTCAGCAGGTGAGATGGGAGAGACTACACACAGCTGGCCACGTTTTATAGAAGAGAGGCAAAGAGAAAGGAAAACTCTTAAAGCAGTTCTGCTTTGAACCAAAGTAACTAAAAATGTTGGGCAGGGATGACAAAGGAACAGACAACAGGCTGATATAATGTGGTGCTCAGCTTCAGACTCTCATCAGAAGTTTTCATTTTATTACTTTTTAAAAACATCTAAAATCTTCCTTTAAACCACTTTTACCACTTTGTGGTATTTGTAATGATCTAGTTTTAAGTTTACAGATAAATAGTTCTCATAATTCCTATAGAGTTCATGAGCATTCATGATCCTGTAAAAAACGTTCAAAACTTATTCTGAGTCTTGCTGTTTAACAACCAGGAATTTGGGTTCGTTTCTTTTTATTTTATTAAGAAATAAGAATGACCTTTTCTCACTTAGCCGTCCTGCTTCCAAGGAAAACTTTAAAAACAATTGGAATTCCTAATAAACAATCCGTTTTACGTGTCATGTTTAATGTATAGTCCTTCAGCCAGTGGAAACCAAACACATGCTAACGTACGGTAAAAATGAGCTGTCAAACTGTCAGCAGCGCAAATGGACACGTTGTAAATCATTCATCCTTGAATTATTTATAGGAGTTTTGTCAAGAGCCATTTCTTTGGAGGAAGCACATCAAAAGAGTTTTAACATCGCAAAAAAAATGTGGCACAATGGGATCACAGAGGGTTCAAAAACAGGACAAAATCATATTTTAGGCCAAACGTTGGGGGCTCTTCGTTCAGCAAGATAGTGTGCTACTGTAACTGTAGATTTTTAAGGCTACACCAGCCGTTTAAAGTTTATAATTACTGGCAAGTGCAATATAAATCACTCAGGACGGTCTTTTTGCTACTGAGTTACAACCGCATGCCCCTCTGCCAAGAGCCAACACGAGACGTCGGGTGTGTACTTAGGATATTGTAAACTGTGGATCGTTTAGAAGCTTGTCGTGGTCGAGAATGGTTTTCGGGGAGGACGTGTTATTAATGTTTGGGCTCCACTGGACCACATCTGGCAGTCATCACGGTGTTGTTCCAGCCCTGATGTCTGGCCAGGCCGCTCAATTAGATTTCACTTAGTCTCTTCCTCTCCTTGCACTCAGACCTCTGCTATCTCCGAAATATCTGAGCGTTTGCCGAAGCACGAGGAGGACGATAAAAGGTGCTCGGGGGGTGGGGGGAGGGAAGATAGACGACATTTAATGAGAAGTGGCATATGTATTAAGAAGAACAGGTTGGAGTTTAGGTTGAGATTGTAGATAGGAAGAGGTGGGGGGACCTGACCCGTGAACACTTTCAGTTTTTAGCTGAGGAAGACATCTGACGACACCCTGACGTGTTTTAGTCATGCATTTCAGGGTAATATCAGTGACTGCGCTAAATATTAGGTTTTTGATATCGGGGGGAGAACAACTGTGTTGTGGGATCAACAGGAAAGTAGCAGGTTAAATGTGTCTGAGGAATTAGGGGGACATCACATCTGGTTGTAGGTGCAAAACGGACCAGATGTGAACCCACCCACCTTGCACTTGCACAAACACACACACTTCTTGCTCTTTCTTCTGTCTCAGTCTCAACTTTTGCTATCCCTTTAACAGGAGAGGAACCCAAATACTTTTCCTTTTCGCACCTCTGGCTCAGTCAGAGCTCGAATGATGGGATTTTCTGCAACCAATCCTAATCTTAAGAAATCAAACCAGCCAAGGGGCGGTATTTACCACAGATGCTTTAAATTCATAGGTAATATGTATTTTTATTTGACAAAACATAATGAAGCGATACACTTTATATATGGATAAACATCCTTGCAAAAAAAAAAAGTTAATAAATTGTGGGCACAGGATGGTTGTAGTTGTTGCTGTATGCTCATTTCCCTACCTGACAATTGATTTATGCACATGCATGGCTGACTGCCTATTTTTAAAAAAAGATTAATATCAGCAGATTAAAATCGTTCAGCCAAATTATGTCTATCCATTAAAAGTGGAAACTGTGGGACATGTCAGCTGGACAGAGCTGTGTGAAAGCCCTTAGATGATCCAGACTTTATAAATCTGATGCTTTTAGCAAACTTAAATATGTGACAAAACTGTAAAAAGTGAACTTAGAGCATTTTCCTGTAAGAGAAACTCTTATTTTGCATTATTAAGTTTGTAGTTATATTTAATCCTGACTTTTAAATATTTGAATAGTGGAGATTTGCTCATTTTAATTTGAAAAATCATATTTTTTGCAACAACATATTTGTATTAACATTTCATTTCACGTCATAAGAGCAAGGCAAGAATTGTAAATAAAATTCATTCAAAGTTAGGAAGATTGAAAAGGTGTTGATATCAAGTTGATGTTTTGCAGTGTCATTTATAGCAGCTTATTATAACCCTTAATTGTAAGTGACCTTGTCAAAATATGAATGTCAAAATAAATGAAAAGAAAAATGAGATTAATTTGTCCATTTTCTTTCGTTTCTTAAGCTTACGGACTAAAGCTTAACATTTACTTATAACCCAGGTGTTTACATTCTTACCTGTGTCCACGGCAGCCACAAGGACACACAGCAAAGTTTGGTAAATCCACACGTTTGTCCTCATGGTCGGGTGAAGATGTGGGACAGGTTAGAACCGGACGGACACGCGCTGCTTGGGTTTAAAGTCCAGAGAGAGGCTGCTGGTTCTGTTGAAGACTCAGCTTCTTCACACACAGAGGCCACTTTCCACGAGAAACCACACGCGTCCTCGGTTCAACCCCCTTTTTACCAAAACTTTGTCCCCCCGCCTCGACCCACCTCCACGAACATCTTCAAACAGCGCCGCTCTTCCCACTGGTGTCAAGTTCAGAGGAGCAAACCGCACAACTTCCGGTTGTTCTTTTCAAAATAATGCACGCAGATAAAGGAATGGTTAATTTTTCACAAAAATTGCCAGGTTAAAATCTAACACACACACACACACACACACACACACACACACACACACACACACACACACACACACACACACA